TTGTTATTTGAGAATTCTTTCTATATTGAGATTTATTCCTTATTTTATTTGGTTTGTAGGGATTAAACCTAATCAACTTATGTACTTCCTACAAAGTTTCCTGCCTGAGAAACGTGATTGAATCCTAAGACATTTTCAAGTCATTCATCAGAAACTTTATTTTGCATGTGTAATGTTTAAGTTTATATATATGTAATTATTATTTCACTTTAAAATGTTTTCCACAGTGGACATATGTATGTGTAGATTTATAAGTAAGTCTAAGGAGTTCCTTTGTTTATATGGTAAAGGTTTATTAAGTGACTGCTACATGCCACACTAAACTGGTGCTAGGAAATCAGTGATAAATAACAGATGGGCCCTGCTCTCAAGGAGCTCATAGCTTTTGTTTTTGAAATAGACAGGCATAATGATAAATTATTGCATAGCTGAGAAAATGATAGCTCATAAGCTCGGAATGTCATTATTTACTTTTTCTGGGATGTTGGGTTGGGTATTTCTCCTTTGTCTTTCAGCTGAAGTCAGAAGCCATCCAGACTTCTCATTTTCAAGCCAGACTTAATGAAGTCATCAGAACCTTAACTCAGGTGAGAAGAGGAATTTAAAATCCTTGGGTAGGGAAACAGGTACTCCCTTTGTTGTCTTTTTTTCTCTTTCATGAAACAAATTGTTTTACTTAGAAAATGAGGAAATCCCTGGCTATTCATGGTGAATTAAAGGTGCGTTTGAAAGTGGTTTATAGCCCTACATTCACTGACAAACACGCACTGCCTCTGGAAAAAAAGAAAGCTGGCATTTTAGAGTTATCTTAAGCTGGCATTGGTTTCCCTTAAACTTTAAGATCTGACTCTGCAAGGAGTGTCAGGCCCTCAGGACACAGAAAAACAGAAGGTGATCAGAAGGCAGGGCAGGCATCTATGCAGAATGGCCAGGTGTCACTAGTTCAGATGTCACTGATAAAAGTATTTGTGTAAATCATTGTCAGCATTACCCTTGGCTAAAGAATAAACAGATTTATCTGCTGAGAAATGATTTTATATCTAAAGATTTTTATTTTTAAAAAATTATTATGTTCATTGCATAAAATTTGAAGGTATAGAGTGAAAGGAGCTGAAAAAAAATACCACTGATGGTCCTCCCAACCACAACTGCTTCTAAGATTTGTTCATGTTCCTTTTCAAGCGTATGTGCTTTCTTTGCATAGTTGGTAATCTTATTGTATATATACCTTCCTAGCCTGGTCTTTTCACTTAGCATACTTGTTTTCGTCCTTGTAAAATATAGGTGATTATAACATCTACAACATAAAAAAGTTGTAGTAATTCATGCTTTTAACAGCAAACATAAATCTCTGAACAAAAGAAACTTTCTTTTGCATGTACGAATATGAATATATTCTCAAAAAAAGAAGTCGACTAAGGCTTAAGTTGTTATAACTTGGGAGAAAAATCTATAATTTAACTTTAAAATATTTATTATGAATGATAAAACAGTAATAAAACATTATTTAAAGAAGGGAACAAAGTAATATCTCCTATTTTTAGAGGTTTTTAATCTTAAGAAACTATCATCTCTTTTTACTTTTTGGATTTTCGTTTTCATTGTTTGAAAATTCCTTTGAGACCCATCTAACTCATTATTACCTGAGACAAGTACTAGAACCTTCTCCTGTCATCATTGATTGATTGATTGATTGATTTATCCATTCATTTAGCTGCACATGTTGATCACCTATGTGTCCCAGGTTTAGTATACTAAACAGGTGATATTACCTCTTGTCATAGAACTTCTCATGATTAGACAAGCCACCACCTCATAAAAGATCAGGGATTTTCTGTGAGTGGCCTTTTATTGAATGAAGTTTGGATCTTGCCCCATCACCAAACTGTTACATTTTCATCCATAGGTCATTGGTGTATCTGGGGTGATTGGCCTTCAGTCCAATGCAATCTGGCTTCTAGGACATCTTCACCTATCTACTCTGTCCTCAAATCAAAGGAGAACCTCTGGTAAGGTTACAGCCATAGGACATTGTTAAGAGCATTAATTTTCACAACAGCCCTAAGTAATGGGTATCACCATCCCTTTTATACCTCAGAGGAAATGGGCTGTGGAAAGTCTTCCTGACCTACCGGGGTCACGTGGCAGTCAGTGGTGGACACGACATTTGAACTCAGACCTATCAGCCTCCAAAGCCCATGCTCTTTTCACTCTTCCTCCCCGCCTCCCTTAGAGAACAGTTTAGACATTGTATCTAATGCCGTATTTTATAGATAAAGAACTTGAGGCTCAGAAAGATGACATAACTTACATACAGAGTTATTTTAGTGACAAATCTAGAAAAAAAGGAACCACATCCTGGAAGCTTGGACCCAAGTGCTTTTTATTTTGCTAGATGTAATCAATAGTTTGTATACTACTCATAGTTCATTAGACATCTCTTCATATACGGTTGGAATTCTTCTGGCTTCTGTTTTGGATGAAATAATAGGGTAAGTACATTATAGTTGTGCATCTCCTGGGCTTTGGAACTGAAATCCTAGATCTCAATATAACAAAGCTTTTCCTATTGCCAATAGGAAAAGCAATAAGAAATATTTGCAGTTCCCACATGCTTAATTTATGTTTGTACTTGGAGATTTTTCTGGGGAGGCCTCACTGTAATGCACTGGGACCTATATCTGGTCCTTTCTCTTTATAGAATTTTGACCCACTGGCTCTCTTGGACCCAGACCGGAGAGGCTTATACCAAAGATTCTTCATTAAAACCTAATTTCACATATCCCCCGACAGGTAGTCTATGGGCAGCATTACCATGAACATGGGTCCCTGTGAATACTGCCTCCCTCACCTCCAGTCACTCCTTAGCTGCAGAAATAGGATATTATTCCACAACATTCCAGCATAATGAACTTTAGACAGCTGGAAGCTGTCATATTAAAATGGGAAAAAGAAAAAAAAAAATCATTCTCACTAGCGAAACCTCTGTAATGCTAGTTTTGGAGGGCAGTGGTCTCACAATATCCTGGTAAAGTAGCATGTTTATGTCAGGCTTTTGCTTTTTTTACATAGGCTTTTTGATTATGTTATGGGTTACATATACTCAAGTCAGGTCATAGTGAATCATCCTACACTTAGGTTCTTCAGAACAAAATGATTGTATGTCTGGAAAAGTACAGCTACTTGTTTCTGATGGAATTTTCCTATTGAACCATTTATTGCAGTAAAATGCACCTCATGAAACAATTATGGGGAACTGGGAGGAAAAGAATCTAGGAAACTCCCAGTACTCAACTAGCATAAGTGTCGCTGTTTCACTGTTCCAGGTCAGCGATATCTGATCATTTGTACATGTTGGTCACTCTGGGGACTTTGCCTTATGAAGTAAGAGACTGGCTGCTATTAATACTAATGGTTGTGTTTCCATGATTCATATATATCTGATTCAGGATGTGCTGAAGAAGCTCCTAGAATGGTGGTCTCAGCCTGAAAGCTGAGCAGAGTCCTGGCTGATACTAAGGAGGTCACAGGATTGGGGCTCATTGATGTGACAATGCGGAAAGGATTTTTTTTTTAACCACTCCAGTAACATTTTCATCCTCTGTGGTTTTTCAGCCTCTACTAGGTTACTACCATTTTAGATCGCTTGCACAGCCTAAGTGATTACTTCAGGGCCAGTCGCTTAATCTAATTGAATCAGTTGTAGCCACAGAATATTGTGCTGAGATTAATGGCATAAACATCTCTGCTTTTGTCTCTAGGTTGATGTGGCAGCATGAGATCATTATCTTTCCTTCATTAGTCCTGCCAAGTTCCCTGGTTAATCTGATCATTTGCTGTCTCCACAGTTCCTCCTGATTATAGCTATTTGCCTGAGAGCAGTTTTATTAGAGCAGCCATTGGCTTCTTCATTACAGGAGGAAAAAAAGGCAAGTAAAACATATTTCTTGAATTTTATTATTCTTTCTACAAGTGAAGTAAATTTGTGTGTCTTCAGCCTGCTTCTGTAGAATTAAACAACACAAATCTGAAAGGGTGAATATTTTCTTCTGCTAGACCTTTGCAATAGAGATCACCAGGAGGCCAACTTGAGTAAGCGGTACATAAACATACACACTGTGTAGTCTCTTGGAATCCCTGTATCTGACCTTGGGGTCAGGGGTGGTCTCTGTGAAGACCTTAATCTTCCATTTGGTTCTTTCAAAAATATAAGCACACATGACTTTTCTTGTGAATTTTAAGTGAGTATGACCGAAAAAGAGAAAACACACCTGGGTGCAGTTTGTATTTCAGGATCTGACCTGGAAGTAGGTCTTCTCTGTGAGCCTTGTATCATCACTATGTTGTTGGAATCACTGACTCCAGGTCTTGGTTTTTAGCTCATGTTCTGTTTCTCTGCAAACATTGGTCCCTTTGTGATTCTGTGTCTCTGTGACCCATATTAGAGAACAAGCAACCTGAAGACAGAGATTGGGTGCCTTTTGTTTTAACTGGAGCCAGAAGAAGGCCGTGTCAGTTATTAAGTAAATACTCTTCAATGATACACATGTACTATTCAATGCTGTGAGGAAAAAATGGATTAGAACTGAACACGTCGCAGCTCAGGAACCAGTTTCACTCATGTAATAAACTTTCACTGATATTTGCTAGTTTCATTCTTCCTTGGGCTGGTTAGGTCGGTCTGGGCAAAACCAGTGCCTGTATTACAAGACCATATCAATATGAGAAAAAACAAAAAAGTTTTTAAGCAAATTAAAATGAAGAAACCTGGAAGAAGGAAGTTTGATTAATGAAGGTTGTGGAAGAATAAAATCTTACCATTGTAAGAGACATTAAAGGTCACGTTGTCTGATTTCTCACTGGATACAGTAATCCTTGGAGCTTCCAGATTATAAACTACGTCCATTGCTTGTAGATGAATTCCTTTAGTTTCTGGAATTCTAGAAATTGTACTATTATCCTATGATATTACATATCCTCAGTGCAAACTGATATAAGGTTATGTCATTATTGTACATAATATATTTATCTATGAACATGTCATATATGAGTCATAACATGGAGTTAATTGTTCATAATGCCATAAATTCAGCCTATTTAAAAAAAATCATAACACAGATGTCTTCATTAGCAAAAATTAAATTCTCACTAAAGGAGCATCTAAAATTTCCATGGCTAGAATAATTCTAGGAATATATATTTTTGCTCAATTTTTTTGTGAGTTTGCTCACTGATATCTTATAAAATTTTTAAATGATGATAATGTGAGATAATTTCCATGATAAATAAAATAAAAATTCTTAAGGTCAAATGAAAGATAGACTCTTTCTTTTCTAGTGAATAAAATGACATTTGGCTCCCCAGATCCATATTTCTTGGCAGAAATTAATTTTCTTTGAATCCTGTGGGAAAATTTTGGTTAAATGTACAATTTTTATGATTACGCAGTTATGGCACAACAGGCAATAAATATTCTGCTCTAAAGCTAAAAAATCAGGTGGAACTGGCATCAGTGACGTTATGTGCAATCTTGCTGAAAGCTATTTTAGAACAGAAGCATGAAGTATTAAAAAGTGCCATATTACCAATCAGATATTTAGTATTTTCAGGTTGTGGGAGAGGTCTGCCTTCTTGTCAGGTTTGCTGACTAGATTCAGAGGGAAATCTATTCAGCCTTACACATTACTAATGATGACCCCAGAGGAGTGGGGGCCGTGGGAGGCTGACCTCCGCCTCGAAAGCCCATTTACAAAAACAAAACCAGACCCTGCTCTATGGGGCTAAATAGGATGGCCAAATGCGGAGGTGTGCGTGCAAACAAGTGTTTTCTTCTTCAATATGCTCAGCTCATTTGAATTTTAATAACTCCCTTCTGAAGCAGCTTTTGAGTTTAAATGTCTGGATGTCACTCACCAGAGCCCAGTGAGGCTGCTGATAGGAAGGATGACAACTTTGGTGAGCTCTTTTGAGGAAGAAATGGCTTTAGAGAATAAAAATCGCGCTTGGCATAGGCAGAAGAGAGCAGACTTTAGGGAGAGCATGGCTTCCTTGCCTCTGTGCGCTATTTAATAACTCATAAGGGGGAGGAAAATGTGATGAGTTATCCCTGAGTCACACTTAATGCCAGGAGAAGATTGGGCATCATGATCTCAATTTTAGCCAATCAAATTTGAGGTAGCAAATATATTCATCTGCTTTCTAATGCTTAGGACTTTTCTCATTTTAATATTCATGTGATAGAACATATGAGATGATCATAGCATTCTACATGTTCATAGCAGGCCTACGTTGTAAAACCATACCAAATAGATGAAATTCCTTCTACTTTTTAAAGACTTCAGTTAAAGCTTTTTTTGTTATACCTGTAACATTCTCTTTTTCCTAATAGTCCTGGCCTTCTTTTAGCAGATGGATTATTCCTTAACCTTTGTCATTATCTATTCCTGTAGACATTACTTGATTATGATAGGCTTAAAATTGGCTCATAATCTAATTCCTCCTATCATGGAATTATTTTTCCCCTTAAGGGCCTTTAAAATTTGACTCTTTTGCTTCTTTCCTATTAATTTTTTTCTTTTTTCCTGACTTGTGACCTTTTTTCTCCTCAACCTCATAGCATATTCAGATTTCATGAAGATTTTATCTACCTCTTTATAAAACATTTGAAATGTATTAAAAGGAATCATTTCTTTTTGATACCAACATCAGGTATTTCTACCTAACAATTTAAGATTATTTTTCTTATTCTGTTGCTGGGGAATGTGACTAATTTCTTAAACTTGTATTTTTCTGTTAGACTTTAAAGTTCACAGTAAGAAAAATTATTTAAGGAAAGTATATTTAAACCCTTGTAATAAAGTCATTATGAATGGTATTTTTTTCCTTAATATGAATTCATTGGTCAGTGATCTGTGTATATAAGAATTGGTACTGTGCATAAACTATAGATAGGTATACTTTCTATTTTTCTTGAACTATTAATATGAGATATAATTGTTGACACCCCTAGCCAGAGGAGCAGAATTGTGAATTCTGAGTGTAGAATAAATGCTATGAGAAAGCTGTCTTATTTTTCTCATGAAATTATGGAGTCAGTTGCCAAGATTGTATCATTTGAAAGTATTTTAATTAGTAATAATTTACCTATACAGTTATAAAAAAATATTATTAGAATACATGTGTATAGCATTAAGTTTAAAAATGGTATAAAGAAAAAAGAATCCCCTATAATCTCACCAAGTAGAGATAACCACAATAGCTATTCCAATATTTCCTTCTAGATGTGTGTGTTATATTATGTTGAATCATAAAATTTATATTGTTTTGTTGCCTGATTTTAAAAAATTTAACAGCTTTCCATGTAAATGGAAATGAGTACCAGCCATCTCCTCCAAAAGGAGGCTCAGGAGAAAAGTATGGAAAGAATCCTTGCATTACTTTCTAGATAGTTGTTAATATGTTTTGGGGTGCTTGATTTCTATCTTTGTACCATGAAAATACACAAAAGGAAAAAAGTCACCAATTATTTCATAACTCTCTGACAGCTACTATCATTTTTGAATTCTGCTTTTTAATTTGTTGCTTTTATGCACACACAAGTTTTACATATTTCCAAGTATACATATACTTTGTATTTTTAACTTAATACTATGATATAAACATTTACCTAATTTTCATATATCTCCATAATTATCATTTTTAAATGACTGTAGAATATTCCATCAAGTTAACCATAATTAGCTTAACGATTTCCCTATTGGTCATTTTTTAAATTTCCATTACATAGAGAACATGTTTATACGCGTAGCTTTCTCTCTTCTGCATATAGCTTTCCTTAGGATAAATTCTCAGCAATTTATTAGTGGGCAGGAAGAGTCTTAGGATTTGGTGACCATAGGATGGCATGGCCTCATTGCTCTTCAAAAGGATAGTACCAAATTTTAGTACTTCAGCCATGTATGAATATGCAAAGCAGTAGACCGTAGCGGTTAAAAGCATGAGAGTCCGACTGCCTGGGAGATGCCCCTTGCCGGCTATGTAACTTCATGCAAGCTGCTTAAGTCTCTAAGCCTCAGTTGCTTCTGTAAAGTGGAGAAAGTAATGGAATTTCCTTTGTAGAGTTTTTGTGAGGATTAGGAGTTTATGAGTCACTTTATGTAACAGTGCTTAGAAAGCAAAATAAAGGATAAACCCTTTCTAGTTATATTACAAAGCAAGACAATATATAGATAAACAAATGACTACAGTGAAAATCAGTCAGGTATAAAATGATACCTTAAGACTGCTTTAATTTGCATTTTGTTGACAGAAGGAATGAACATTTTTGTGTGTATTTATACTATTCAAGAGGTTGTTTCTTTTCATTAAACTTTAGACAGTTTCTTTTTAAAAAATGTACACCTTTTTTCTTTTACTTTTTCTTTTGAAATAATTTCAAACTTACAAAAAAGTGAAAACAGCCAGAGAACTTCGATATTCCTTTCACCCAGACACCCTATTCACATTGCACTGACAGTCCAAAAGATGTCTTCAGCAGAAAAAATTGAATCTTGACTGTCACGCTGTTCTTATGTATTATGTCTCCTTCAATCTGGAACTGTTCCTCAGTTGTTCTTTGTCTTTCATGACTTTAACATGTTTTAAGATTAGAAATGATGTATTTCATGCAACATTCTGCTGTTTGGGTTTGCCTGTTGCTCCTCATAGGATAGTCAGGTCAATCATCTTTGGCAGGAACATCGGGGACGTGGAGCCCTGCTCTTCTCAGGGCATCCCACAAGCGGTGCAGGTTGTCTGTCTCCCTGCACCGGTGATGTTCACTTTGATCCCTTGTATTAGGTGATATCTTCCAGGTTTCTCCATTAGTATTCTCCACTAGGAAGTTTCTCTTTTCCCATTGGTTCCCCTACTTTCACCCATTAGTTTTAGT